CAATACAAAGTTCTGAATTGTACACACAAAGTTCATAAAAACACATCTGCCTTTTCATGCATAAAAAAAAGAATTCTCACCGCACGGTCAAAAAAATACTCCGAAACTAAGTCTGGAAAGGGTAGTTTGTTATTTGCTTTAGCTTCTAATGACGAGTTACTGCAACAGTATGCCCGGGCTGTCCCTGGAATGCCGATATTCTACATTGCTCACAAGCGAATCAACTTGGAGTCTATTCCTATTCCGGTTTCATTATTGCTTCGACAAAAGGCTACACGAGCACCGGACTTGACACTTTCGGAGGTGAGTGTTAGAAGTTTCAGCTTTGTCCTAAATTCATTTTATGATGCTTTAGTCGGAAATAAAATAGACACAAGTTTATTTCTCAATCTTTCTCATCATGCTGGTAGGGTATCAGACTTACTGAATATTCCACTAATTTGCTAGGGTATTATTGTTGTGTTTTGTATATTTAGATGTAGTTAAGTGCCCCTTCGTCTGCCGATCCTCAATTTCTAGGATCACAATGGCATTACAGTCGCTTCAAATTAATTTAATTGGAGTTCTAACTACCAAATCAATGTCAAGACGTCTCATTTTTCATAAAATGTGCTGTTTCTTGGCCAATTACTTGTCTAGTGATATTATGTTGGTGTGAACACATTTTTGAGAATACCGAAATTATAATCAGATAATTCGTCCCACGTTAGTTTAGTGAAACTGTTCGAAACCAGTTTTAGCTTGACAAAAATATTGATCATATTTACTTCTATCAATTGAGTGAAAGTAATTAGTACCTTTTGTAAAGTTGTTTTAGATTATCAGTGAGTACGTTAGTTGCATCTTAGGAAAATAATACTTCCAGATGTAAAGGAAAGCCTTTTAAAAAATATGTAGTCCGCTTATTTGAAGTATTAAAGATATAATTTAGATTATTACACTGAAGTCCAGACAAGTTTGCTAAATGAAACGTTGGGATTATTTTAATAGCCTGAGATTATTTCCAACAAAGTGTTTTTTTCTCTAGTTGAGATCATGAGTCAATTGAAGCTAGACCATCATGGAAAACCTGGAAGCACTGGACGGCCGTTTCGTCCTATTGTGGGACTCCTCATTAATAAAAATAGACCGAGTACATAAACATTACACCATTTAGTTCTGTAAAGTGGACACTTTATTCTCTTAAAGTATCCAAGGATCTTAGTTTTGTTAGATAAACCTGGTTTTTGTTAAATATATAGATAAAAGACGCCAAGTTCATGGGATCACTTGTAAGACGTCTCATTGTTTGTCAACATACACCACTACTTATCTAATATTTCCCGGCATATCGGAATCGATCTTACGCTGAATTATGTTTCACCGTAAAACCTAATTGTATTGTCATTGGATCAAATACCAGCAAAAGCGAGACTGTTTTTGATATGCTAGTTGAAAGTCCTTGGTAGAGTGTTTAAAAGTACTCGTTGATCATCCGACCGTCGATTTTTAATACCCTATTGAAAATCACTATTCAGGAGAATGTTTATTGGAGTAATTATAAGTCAGTAGACCTTGAAATGATCATGTCAGAGAGCACTACATTATGTTGTATCATAGTTCAATAGATTCGGATCACCAAAGTTTAAGCTTATGTAGCCGAAGTCGTGTCAAGTTGACTAGTGGCCTACAGGTTTTCCTATGCTATTCAAGTAGTAAAGCTTTTTGATCAAAAACTTTACTTATTGCTACTTCCAAACGTCGGGTATGTCATCTTATTTCACTGAACATCGTAGGACATAGAGAGGACGGCTTACAAGAGTAATCTAGTTCCTGTGTTACCTGTAGTGGTCTAATTATCATTGTGTATAGCATTGCTTCTGTTGCGGTGTGTTATGTTATCAACCTTTGAAATTTATGTCGGAAACATTTAATGATGATGCTAATGAAACAATAGGTATTCAATTGGAGTTTTTTCTGAATGACTACTACAGAGAACGAGGGAATTTCGGTTGTGTACTACGATTCCTACTAAACTGACTCAGCAGTTTATATTAGAAAGTGATAACAGGGTTTCTCATGTTTTGATGTCTATCAGTACGTTGGAAATAGCTACATCCGGACATACTGAAATTTCTCCGGGAGTTTCGTTTCAAGTGTTCACTCGCAACAGTACAAAACAAAAGTTATCGTCGGAATAACATTCAAATCACATGTAGATACACCTAGCAGCGTTGTACAGGAATTTAAACCCCAGTGATCTTTTTGAGCGATCAAATAACTACAATTTTTTATCCAATGAGAAACTGAGCATTTACTTTAAACTCACAATCTATTTTTCCTTAACTTAGTGTCTACATTTATGATTTCAAGGAAAGTGTTTTGCCATCCAAAAGGAAATCAAAACATATGCTGATTTATATGATTTGCCATAAAAACTATGGTTTCTGCAAAAGTACCTTATTTTCAATCAAATGTTTGCCATTTTGCTTACTGGTTAGTCGGCTGTGGTCATTCTCTAACTACTGCTACTCTTCGTCCCTTGATGGATCTAGAAATTTGTCTCAGAAAACAATCTCTAGTAGATCCCGATCGTAGTCCCCACCTCAATGTGGTGGTTGGGTTTAAATATCATGATGGCACAATCGGATTACATTAGAATACTTGTTCGTTTAAGGCCCACCCTGCCAGACAGGTCGTGTGGAGAACAGTAAAACTATAATCAGTGAAGTAGGATCCGAGGTCGTCTCACTGACTGTGCAGGGATGTGACCGAAGTGAGGTGTTTCCCTCAGAGAACGAGGATTATAACCGTTGCTTTTTCCTCAACACGGGATGAGTTGGGAAAAGTTGACCCTGAAAATGTCATACTTCACCCCAGTTTTCCGTGTCCAGTTGTAAACCCTCTTGAAATACGGAGCTAACAAATCAAAAACTCCCCATAAATATGCCGCATGTGATTGGCTTTTAGCAGCTTTACCTTGCGTTCTGTGGTCGCATTTCGTCTCTGTGATCACTCCTAATCCAATTTTCTTTTCAAATCCTTTCATAATACGGGGAACTGAGAGGTGAAGATTACCTAAAACAGCACTCGGAACCTGCAATAGATATCATTTGGATACCTCCACTGGGTTTAGTATTAACAACAGTAACTACTTAGCGTGCTCCCAGTAAAAACAATAGTCAAGGATAAGCCTGTAGCTGTTTAGTTTGTCTACCGAAACCGTTTATATAGGTGCACGAAATAATTAGATTGTCTTCGCATAAAACTGACCTCAAAACAAAGTTGGTTATTGAAACACTGACTGGCAAGCTACTAACTGGAGATGGATCAAGTCAGTACAGCCCCATAGTTTCACCTCAAGTATTACTTTCAGTGTCATAAAACCCTGCTAAAATACTCAATAGTCCTTCAGTACTTTTTTACTCCATATCAAAATCCATAGTTACAAAGCGAAGACGAACTGGCTATTTTCTATGCGCATCTACTTTTTACAAGATAGTCTGATGACTATTTTACTAGTAAGTCCAGTACACCTAATTTATCGAGTGGGTTACCGTTTTGTGCTATTTTGGACTTTTCGATAGCTAAGATATCAAACCCATCCACATAATATGTAAGACTCATGAAAATATAAGTGAAGTTTGCCAACGTAGTCGTCAACCTGCAGTAACCGATCGTAATGATTTACGAGGAATTCAGCAGCCACTGAGGTCGAACGAGATATTTTAAGTACATTTCTGAAACACCATATGCGGTGGCTTCGTTGAATCACATTAATACCAGATTATGGCATATGTAAGCCGTACAAAACCAAAATCGTCCTAATCGATAGCTAAAAATGAAGATTGTCTGAAGCTGCCGCAACTGGGTGTATTTATTTGAATAGATATTGGTACAAGGGGGCACCGAATACATATGTGCCACACAAATCACTTGATTTGTGTATGGGCTCTGATACTTCCCGAGTGACCTAAAGGTCTGATCCACAATGCAGCCGAGCGACGCTAGGAGATACAGTCCCATGATAGCCAGTGACCAACAACTGGTTCATACACCATTTGTTTCCTCAGGATTCTATGTGCACCATCAGCTTAGAATTAGGGTTTCCCTACTCCCCTAGGTGGACCATCTGTATCCATTATCCCGGTTTAAGCGCCGAACATTCGGCTTCCGTCTTCTTAATTTCTTAAACAACACCACCGCGAGAAGGAAGTGAGTAGGACTTCCTTGGCAGTAAATGTATACGCGTGGTCATGTGAGAGCATTTCGAAGAGAGCTGACTCTCCCCACCCGGTCGTCCCAGGGCATTTGGTGTTTAATGTAGTTAGCTAGGAAGCTGGTTACTAATTCTAGTTACAACCTCCTCCCAAAGTTGTCTGACAGTTTACCACCCAAAATAAATTTATATTGGTCTACTGAATGACCGTTATTAAATGAGTCCGACCTAGTGAAGTATTATGACACTAATAAAATACTTGATAGAGACCTTTAAAAGAATCACAATGTGCGGTTATGAAATAAAACGGTACATCACATTCTGTCATTAAAAACTATATTTATCGCTAAAATAGCTTCAAGTAAAATGAGCATCCAGCCTGATTCATTTTGTGCAGTTCATGACAACTCGCTGTTTTCTATTTCGTATTTTCCTCTTTAGTGTAATAAAATCAAACAATTTTGTGACAGATTTGGTTTTTCTGAAGGAAGTTTTACACGTAAGAAGAAGACCAAAGGACCCAACCCATTATCGTGTAAGCAAAAATTACACAAACCCCACATCCCAAAAAGAACGACAGTTAAACGAAAGCGAAAACGTATCAAAATGACATGGGCAATGAAGCAAGTCGTAGAACGTTTGAAAGCAGAACAAAGTAGCAAAGATGCGTGAAGTATATTAAACACAGAGTCCCATTTATTATGCATTTTTACCCTTTACTATCAATAAGACCGTTCGATATATTTTTTTCTCACTAGTGGAGAAAAAAGGTACTTATGTACACACCATAATACGGTACATTATCATAAGAATTTTATTTCAGACAAAATCTTATGAAGTAACTATACAATATTGTACAATTTAGATACATTATATTCACAAATATATATACATTGACGACCAAATGATTGGTTTCTTTTCTTAGTTGAAGATCACGTGTTTTTGGGATGCGTCAAGTTGGAGACTACACGCTGTAATCTAATAACCTGTGCATTGGAATTGGGAATGTGATTGGGAATGAGTCGTACAGTGTTCCCGATTCGAACAGTATTAGTTGGCGTAAGTAGGGCTGAAACCGACTGAGAATTATGTGAATGGGTCACATCATTGTTGATATGATTTATTTCTGAGGAGACCAGTCGTATGATAGGACTTGTTTTGTTAGTGTCACAATTAATCATTCTTATCACAGGAATGCTTGTTGCACACTTAATGCCATTCGCTGAAAATTGGGGAGGTTGAGAAAAATGCTTTACAGAGGTTGTCATATCCAGTAATCCAGAATCAGGAGACACGTTTGCATTTACAGTTTTAGCGACTGGTCTCATAACTAACGCACCTGCAGTAGGAGGATTACTCAACATTGCCGGTCTACAAGTTATTGAAGATTCGGTCGGTAGTTGAGGTTGTCGAATACGATTAGTTTCTAAAATTGTAGAGGTTCGAGAAGAGATCCCCAACGGCTTTTGTAATCGATAAACCATGCGTGTAAACTGTGATGGCGGAACAACGGGATGGGTAAAGCGTTGTTGATATATTTCGCCTGCAAGAAAAAGACAATGTTAACTAACCAGATTTTAGACTTGGTTATCAAAGCAAATACCAGCTAGAAAACACATTCTGAACGTTTATTGTCATGATAAGTATCTCAAAGGCTTCGTAATTTGTAAGTGTACTCACTAAATGGTAAAGTAATTATATCTGGAAAAAGGACGAGAAAAAATTCGATCAACAAGTCCACTACGAAAGATAAAATTGGTCTTGCGTTCCTGGGTTTGTCATTCCTGAGATGGAGTCAGATGTCGATGACTATGAAAGCTAAAGTCCTAAAATCCACACTAGTGAAAATCACTCCTCTTGGGCTGTTGAAAGAATGATACGGTTTTTTCTTACAAACTAGGAAGATCAGCGATCGATACCAATGGTATGGGATTACGTCCAACTCCAACTACCATTAAAGCCTCTGAAATAAAAATTTCAAGTTTGGTTGCGCCTGAAGTACGAATAATCATGAAAAACTATAGGATACACAATAAATCGATGTTATTTAAGCTTACAAAGTGAAATTTTAGCAAATATCCATCTTAAGATTTTCAGTGCGGGAAGTCTTATCTCCGAACGACGTCATTATGCTTTGAAAAACATGGTTAAAGAGACGTTGTTTACGTCCTAAAACATTTTACGTACATCGGATTTATTTTATGACTTATCACATAACTAATGAGGATTTTCATAAAAACGACGATCATCCTTGCTTGAAAATTCGGAAACTAAGTAGGCATGCAAAACTTACCCGACGGTGTTTTCATTTGGCGGGTAATTACAAACACAGGTTGGCCAGTTGAAGCCAATACTTGTCTTGCTGTTAAATTCAGGTGACTTCCATCGGGAATAGACTGAACAGGAATCATGGGCTCCGGAGGATGCTGAACCAACGGGGTCGTCGGGCTCAACAGACGAAACGGTATATCCGGTGACTTTTGGTACCTGTTTTGTAAATGTATACCAGGAGTAGTGGTGGTTGATGGTCCAACATATTTCGAACATGATATACCAGTAGCACTGAGCCCTTCTGAAGCCTAGAAGAAACATCAGAACATCAAAGTGTAAATGAAGTTTACACACTACAGGAAATACACAACAATAAATAGAGTTAATATTTGGACAGACACTAGTTTTACTGTTCACAAAATTTATCGTACTTAATCTACGTTTCTTCAGAACACCAAGTCCATAGAACATAGGGTAAACAGATCACTAATTGATCCAAAGACAACTCACAGAGACCCTAATGATCAGTAATCATTCGATAGTTAATATATTAGAGTTTAAGTAATAAGAAAAAATATGGGATCTGAACTATATGATCTATAACTGAAGAATGTGACAATAAAAAAATAAATTTTTGAAACATACTGTTACCAACACACTTTTCATAGCATACGTGTCTTAAAGACAATGTATCCCAGATTCTCAGTAACAAATTTCACCTGAAATAAGCTGATTAACTATAATATTAAAGTGAATATGAAAAGAGATGTACTTACAGAGATATCATTGTGAAAACCAGGTATTCGTTCAGACTGTAATTTAGTTGAACTCCCCACAGAAACCTCGAATGCGTCTGTGAGAACATTATTTGACTGTTGATTGAAAGGTAACTCAACTAAATTATTAGCTTCAACAATTTCCTCATGCGCCACATTTTCAGGATCGTAGTGGTTGGAAGAAAACACAGAATTCGGTGCATCAAATCGAAACACTTTATCTGGAAGATCACATTCTGTATTTCGTCTGTCTATCCTTTTCTGAGTTTGAGTAGATGATCTATTGTATTGCGAATGTGATTGGTCGAAATGATGGATCTCTTCCGATCCTTTGTAGCTTACATTCTCTTCAGAGAGTTCTGGAATCGGATACGACCGGGATGATAAATAATTCTTTTCGAGTTTACTGGAAGACATTACATCCTGTTGTAAAAATGCACCAGTTTTAGATTGAGGATTATTGTTTTGTGAGTAGAGATTATTTCGAATACCAGACTTATGAAATCTTTTGGTGTGGACCGTCGGTGGAAAATGCATTTTCTCAACAAATGCCTCGATTCCAGTTTTACTACTTTCAATAATATTAATTTGTGTTGGCTGATTTGTAGACTTGCCTCTTTTACTAATATCTCGATTGATGTTTATTTCGTCTTTTTCATTGTCACAAACGAATGTAATCTAAAAATCAGAGATTTTAAGCACTTTTAGACTTTAGTTAAAACAAATTATATTTGAAGGGGTCTTTGTGGACATCATAGTAATTTTAATAGTTGATATCGTGAGTCACTTGAAGCTAGACCACCATGGAAAACCTGGAAGGCCGTTTCGTCCTATTGTGGGACTACTCGGCAGTGTGCGTCCACGATCCCGCCTCGCGAGACTCGAACCCAGGACCTATTGGTCTCGCGCAAGAACGCTTAACCTATAGACTAACGGTGTTAATACCTAACTTCAACTAATCTACCAGATTGAGCGACATATCCACCAGTCGTCAGTGAGTTACTAACCCACAAAAGACCAGGTTGAACGTTCAAATGCATCTAGGTTTTCCATAGTGGTCCAGCTTTAATTGACTCATGATCTCAACTATTCAAATTATATTTCCAAAACCCGAACTCTTAGGTTTAAGACATTTAAGAGAAACGAAGTCGTTAAAGAACCCATTGATATGATAGGAGAAAGTGAAAATTGTAGTTAGTGACGTTGGTTAGATTTTTGTGATATAACTAGTCTTATATTGATTAGACACTTTATACATAGATCAGCTTTTTTCTAAAAAAGGATAATCTGTCAATCGACCTGTGATCCCATTTTTTATTTACACAAATGAGTTCGGAGAACTTACCTTCGATAATTCTCAGCTTATTCATGTAGCCATTTATCGTCAGTCATCAGAGTATTTAATTAGACTGGTAACTTGTAACAGGTACACTTCGAAGTGTTTTTATTATCCACAAGTTCAGTTACGAAGTGAATGTAAGAACATACCAAGAATGGTTAGTGATATCGATCACTATCTGAAATCTATCCATTGAAAGACAATCCATTTAATATCAAATGGCTTACGAAATGAAAATTGATTATGATGTAAAAGTAATGTGAAAAAACTTACATCTATCGGTTTTTTCGGTTTATCCAACCTCAGTCGTTTAGGCACCTTTCCAACACCTGAAGACCTCGTTGACTTGTTTGTCCGTGAAAGTCGTGGACACACTACCTGTCGAGCTTGGACTTTATGTGCAGCTGAACACGAATCATATGGTCGCTTCCTAGGATATTTGGATCGGCCACTAGAAAATATCTGTCCAGAATCTAAAAGGTTAATCGACGCATCTGCATCATTAGTTTCCTCCATACGGATTCTCTCTAAACGTTCCAATTCAGCTAACTGGCTGGAGAGATCATATTTACCGCAACAGTAAAACATGTCATCATCTTCTGAATCAGCTCGCTGTTCGTCTGCCTCATGTAAGGCTTTCAGTTTTTCAAGATGCCATACCTTTTCGGACTCTATTAATTCGGCCTAAAATCAGAATAAAAAAAACAATGAACTACATGAACTGAAAGTATGAATTTCATGAGAAAGTGACGTTTCTAGACGACGTCATGATAAACACGCATAAGCGAGATTTGGGAAATTCTCATTGAATATGTACGGATGTTCCATTTATTTTCTTAAAGATAATCAATCTTAATATTTCATACGCTTTTTCAATAGAAACCGTGTATTTATTTATTTATTTTAACACATAGATATTGGTACAAGGAGGCATCAAATACATATGCGCCACACAAATCTCATTTGATTTGTGCGAGGGCTATGATACTGCCCGGGTACCCAAACCGAAGCAGGTGGTTTTCTTAGAGTGCCACACCCCGAGCCTTCGACCTGAAGATCTGATCCACAAGGCAGTGGAGCATCGTATGGAGATGCAGTCCCATGGTAGCCGGTGACCAACGATTGGTTCATACGCCATTAGGTCCACCAGGATACTGGAGCTCATGTGCACCATTGGTTTGGGATCCGGTTAAAGCGTCGGACATTCGCTTTTCGTCCTCTCATTTTGGTAAACAACACCTTCGCCGCGAGAAGGCAGTGTGTAGGACTTCCCTGGCAGAGGCTATATACGCGTGGCCATGTGAGAGCATTTCGAGAGGAAGAGCGGACTCTCCCTACTCTCGGCCGTACCAGGGCGTTTGTGGGGCTTATTTATTTTTTTGAAAGAAAATCCTCATATCAGTCATTCATACTACAATATCCACCGAAACACTACACTAAATCATTCTTAGATCACTGAAAATTACTGTTTTTATACTAAGTAATTCACTCAAAAAATGAAAACTGCTCAACAATCGATATATTAGAATATAACGATAGTACTTTCTTAAAAGCATTCTCCATTAAGGCTCACAATGCAGTAAATGTCAAGTTGATTGAATATTTAACAAATATCTTAGAAATACCCCTTCATTACTTTCGAACCGGTTCGACAAAAATTTATTTTTTCTACATTAAAAATCCACTGCATTGATTAGAAAAAATGAAATAAGTACGATAAATGTTTTGTTTCCCGCCAAAATGAGTAAACAAAAGCGAGATCAATAATTCCAAATTACTTACTGCAATAAAAGAACTTACATAAATATTAAAATGAAAGAATAAAGTTAGATCAAGATAAAAATTGTTACACTTAGAGAATAATACACGACTAATCTAGGGAAATAATAATCTGTTAATGTATGATTGCACGAATTTGAGAAAATAACAAGAACTTACGTCAGCCATATCTAACTGTTCATTTAGCATATGTTCTCTTTGCTCTTCAACTTGCCGAACTCCAAATCGCTCAACAGGTTTTAACTGGGATTCGAAGCCAAGTAACTCACGTTCCACAATTTGCTCGATTGTTTCCAATGTTTCATTTGTATTTTGTGATGCAGCATTGTCTTCATCTGATTGCTGTAGACAGTTTCGAAGACGAGAAAATGGTTCTATAACTGTTACAGAAGGAACATTTGAACCATTATTATCATCAGCAATGATAGAATCATTGTTGTCTTCATTGTAAGGTGATTTTTCTTCGAACTCTGCCAAATCTGCCTATTTAATTGGAAGAACAATTATTTATTCGGAATCACTCAAATGATAGTACTGAACAAATAATATTCGAGTGAACCCTTGTTTTCAATAACTTCATCGGGCTCTACAGTTATAAATCCATAAATATTGTGTTAAAATAGATTAAATACTAAAGTCGAATCAATCCATCTTATAAAATGAATTTCACATCGACTGAGTCATAAATACTATGAAGTACTAACGTAATATATTATTGGTAATGTAAGACACAGATTGCCACAATTAAGATAAAAACTTTATGTCTAAGGATTGATTGAGGTGATAAATTAAGTGAAATTCTAACAAGTCCATTAGGCAGATCCATTAAAACGATGTTTTGTGTCGCTAAACATCACTTAACTTTCGCAAAGAAGCCAATATTGAAGTAGTAAATTCAGGATAAAACACCGATGAATTCTTCTGTCTTTATTAATCTAACTGTTACACTGATCATATTCAAAGGTCGTTATCCTTACTTGCTTATGAACACGTGTCGGCATGGTAAAGTAAATCAATACCCCCATCTCTCCACCTAACTGATTATGGACAAAGCACAAAAATGCTTTCTGTTATATCTGGTTCCAAGTGATTTACCAAAAGACGCAAGAAAGTACCTACTTTAAACAGCTAAAGGAATTGGGAGAAACTGAAAGAAACCTAACTTATATATACAACAGTGATACATTCGACCCTTTCGTTTACTTTGGTCTATAATACGATTATTCCATTTTTAGTTGTGATTTTGTCCGTATATATACAGATTATTTCACTTCCCCTCCATTTTGATTTCCATTTCTTTCCATAACATCTTATTCCGAATTACGTACCTATATGTCTTATTTTACCTAATATTCTTATAATTATCTTAACTGAGATACATTACGTATTTCGTATAAAACGCTTTTACACACGATTCTATTTACTGATTAGAACTACATACTGGAAGACAAATAATTTTATCTCTCTGTGTATAACATTTTCGAACATTACCAATAACGTATTTTGTAGTACTTATGACTCGGTCAACGTGAAACTTGCCATTTTTAATCGATAACACGGATCCGTAACTGTAGAGCCTCCTAAAAAGTTCTCTGAAACAATTATGCGCTCCAATATTCTTTGTTATTGAATACTCTGTGGAGATTTTTTAATTGCTGAATGATATTAGCTGTAAGTGTATAAAGCAGTATCGATCAGCTCAACATTTAAATCTAAAACATTATGAATGGGATTATACTGAAGCAAACAACAAACTTTCCAACAGGAGTATGGTGTGGTGCACTTGTTAATCGATTGTATTTACATACAGATTTGCAGATGAATAGTGAGGTGTAATTCAGTATTCTTATTCCCTAAGTTTGGAGAATCGAATTTATTAAAAGAATCGCAACTTCAAGAAAAGTTAGACATACTTTTGCCTCATCTAACACTCGTCTGGCGGCAATACGATCACTTTCTTCTTCACAAGCATCAAGCAGAGCTTCCAACTGGGCTTCAGCATTTGATGTAAGACCTGCTGATTCATTTGCACTGACACCACGTGGAGAGGCAGATGCTGAGGTTAACATGCAACCATCGGGACGAATTTCTGGGACAAGACGTGTAACTACAACTCGATCTTCAGACTGAGATACACTTCTAAAATCAGAATCCATGCATTTTTTATCAGACTGAGAAAGCGAAGTCTCTATAAGAGTAGCTGATCTTTTCATTTTTGCTAAATCCTGAAGTTACACAAAAAAATAACCACAAAAAGGAAAGGAAAATTTTTACAGATGTGACTTTCAGAATTTATACACTAACTAAAATACTAAGCTAGAAGTTTTTCAAGAGAAACTGAATAAATATTGTTCTTTTGTTAGAATACATCATAATAGAACGGTTAGAAGTAAAGTAAGATTTAGTACTGTGATCAAGAGTTGTAAAAGAATGTTGATATCTACATCTTGAACTTATATATTAGAATCAGAGGCTCAACAAAAAGGTCAGACATGTACATGTAGCATTTAACTAAATTTCATCACGAAAGCTGTAGATAAGGTATATTATGACCAAACACCACTTGTTAAATTTTCTACAGCGCATCCGTCATATAAATCAAAAAACTGCCCTAGCACTTCAGAATATATATAAGTGGTTCTGCAACGAACAATTAGTTCACGTCAAAATTCCATTTAAGGTAATGTACTCAATGATAGTCCTATCACAGAGCATACAGACACAAAAGACCGGTTTTATATGACCGAGTCGATAAAATAAGTATCAATTAATAAGAAAACAGTTTGTTTATGATTAGCCAATAAAATGCAACAAAAAGCTCTAGTTATTCATAAGTAGTGTAGTTATAATGCACAAATTCCCGGGCAAATACCACGAAGTACAACGTTGGCTGGTGTAGAAGCAGAATGGATGAAAACTAAAGGTGGGGGGGTAATCGCAAACGTGAAGCCAGTTCATGAAGTCATAGATCACTGGTAGGTTCACACTATTTGGTTAGGGTTCGCAACTAATTGTTGAAGATGTTGAATGATTCAGAACCGGTTGCAATGGCTTAGATCCATTCATTCTTCCTGAGATAAAAAAAATTATTCTACACTTTTTGTTTCGCGAATTCATCCTTTATAAGTGATCTCTAAGGAAATCTTGATCACGATTGATACCAGTACTTCGGTGTTCATCTTGAAAACCTCATCTAGATGTGGTATGACAATTTGGCCTGACTCACATATGTGCCAAGTTTTAAACGTTGCTTATGGCTGACAAAACGTCTAATGACTATCTTTACAGAATGGTAACAATGGTACTAAGTTATATCCCATTTTAAGTAGAATTTAAAGCCTTCCCGTACGTTCCCACAGTTTAATAAATAAACCAAACAAAATAACATTGTAAAAGTACGAATACAAAAAAGATTGAAATATATTAATATGAGATATATTTTTTTTATAACCTGAAGTCCAGATGGCTCTGCAAATAATTCTGTTATGGTATTTTGTTTGAAAAAAGCTGTAGTGAATTTGCCCCCTTCAATAGCCACGTCACTAAGGAAGCGTTTTTGATTAGCTTTCCGTAATATATTTTCTTCCACTGTTCTTTCACTTATCAAGCGATAAATATGAACATCACGAGTTTGTCCGATCCGATGGCACCTACATTATAAATAAATAAACGCTCAAAGTACTTACACAATGAAGGGAAATATGTATTCAACACTTTTATCACAATAATCACTGGATTTGCCTGTAATAAAGGATCCTTTCTAATTCAGCTGCCCAGAGATAAAACAATAAAACACGTTTATAAACGATTAGTGTAAATATGGTAATTTATCGAAAAAACCCATGATAAGTGGAGTATGATGACCAAGAAATATTTAATTAAATGGAATTTCTGTAATATGGGCTTTACATAAACCTTGGTTGGAATTCAGTATTAAAAAGCCTGTTAAATTCCAGAGCTGACTTGATTATATAATTAAACATCGAAGGTCAGATGCTGAGTACAACACTGGAAATAAGAAAGGGTACAGACCTTTTGACATTTAAACATGATTCATAAACAGTATGTTAGATTTTTACACTACGAATCAACTCAAAGTATACCGTAATTCCCTTAAAAATATCTCGTGTAAACAGATTGCTGGAGATCGTTTCATACATTTTTTTCATTTTTGATAAGAATATGCACTCGATAATACAAATTAAATGAAAGCTTATTATATGGCATTAGTCATAACCACAGCAATATAAGTGATTAGGCATGTCTAATCTAAAATATCTACTACTTTGTCCCAATCTAACCTGAGTGGACCTAGTCTTTAGTTGTCTAACTAATCGGGAAATATTACAGTCTATTACTAATTCGATTTGTATGTGTTTGATTTAGCTTTTTGACTGACTACATTTATTTTATATCCCTTCTTTAATCACGATAATTTATACCGCTGAAAAGTACGGGAAGCATGCGAATAAGATATATATGGGCAAAAAAACTACTAGACAGGTCTCTTCCACATATGACCAAATGTTATCCACTCATAATGGGACACATGTTTTAGTATTGTGCCATCATTTAGAATTACCGATCGAGTATTATTAGACTTAGCTGAGTAGTCTGAACCTAAATTTACAATATCCATTATGATTTTAGTGATGTTTGTCTTTAACCCTGTTCAGAATACAACCTCTGATGTTTATGACTTCCTAAAATATTGATTGTGTTGTAACAATTTTTCATTGAACGGTATAAATTCACTCATTCAATTTTAGGAATACAAGACGCTGTTTTATGAACTGTGATACAATACGGGAAAGTAGCTAAACTAGATTCGACAAATGTTTATCCGAGCAAGAGCTACTATCTTGATGAATTGATCAGACCTGCTCCTAAAAGTCTCTTAGCTTAACTACGCTGACTTCAACAAATGTTTCAAAGATCCTATTTGTTACGAACGTTAAACTCTAGAGATGAAGTTGTTTTATCTTGGGATATGAATATTTTTGACTGTTTTTTTTATTTGCATTCGAAAGAAAGGATCAGAAAAGTTTAACTCTAAAAACTGAGTATTCTGGTACTGTCATTTGTGCACCATGCAGCAAATAGAAAGCGGGAATTATGCTATTCTCAATGTGGTTTAGTAGTCTCTGTAGTAATACTTTTTTATATTGGTTTGGGAAATCCAATTAAGAACAAGGCACCTTGGAAAAGATGCTATGTAGTTTTAGGTCAAGAAACGTTGTGGATTGTTATGTAACGTATTTGGGAAAATCGACATTGACATTTCGTGATAAAAAATATAAATACATTGGTTTGATAGAATTACCTATCTTGCGCTTGAGCATCCATAGTGGGATTCCAATCGGAATCATAAAATATAACCGTGTCAGCTCCAGTCAGGTTGATTCCTAAACCCCCAGAACGAGTAGATAGTATAAAAACGAAAATTTGACTATCCTGATTGAAACGCTCCATTAAAACTTGGCGCTGTTCCACTTTCGTGGTTCCATCCAGACGTAAATAACGATGTCCATGATATGCTAAAAATTGCTCTAAAATATCTAGCATCCGAGCCATTTGAGTGAAAATAAGAACGCGATGATTCCCTGACTTAAGTTCACGTAGCAAACTATGTAGTCGTTGTAGTTTTCCTGTTGAATTAGGGAAAAATACCATAGACATAGATTGCAAAGAAAAACATGAAGTAATCTATCGACATAAGAAACAGTAGTAGAATGAGTAGCCAGTATAGATACATATGCTATACGATGAATAAAATCAATTTCATTGATCGTTCATGTTGAAGTAAAATAGAATTTTGGTGCATTACATAATTGTCTCTACAAATAATTAATTCCGAAAATTAGATTTGAGCGATAATTTATTAGTGCGGTCCCTGAAACTTACTCAATTACACATGTTACACCTCGTGGAGGAGTATTGACCAACCACTAGTATTCTATATCCAACTCTGTCCCTTCCAGTTGCTATTCACCCTTTTCATGTCTGCTTCCGATTCTCGGTGCAATTCATTCTTTGGTTTTTCTCTTCTCCATTTCCCCTCATGATTCCGAGTTAGCGCTTGCTTCGTGGAGCAGTTTGATGATTTCCACAATGTACGTCCTATCCACCTCCAGCGTCTTTTCCTAATTTCTTCTCCAGATCGAAGCTGGTTAGTTCTCTCCAACATTAGCCTGTTGCTGATGGTATCCGGCCAGCCGACATTGAGTATCTTGCGTAGACAATTGTTTATAAATACTGTGGATGACAAGATAGGAGAGCTAGGTCATCAGCGAGGTTCAAACCATCTAGTTGCATTCAAGTTATCCACTGCATTCCGTGCTTCTAGTAAGATGTGAAAATATTCATAATTGAGTCAAACACCAGATGCAAAAAAATGGCGGGGAGTAAACAGCATTGTCTAACTTCGGTCTTTACTTGGAATGCGTCTGTCAGTTGTCCTCCATGCACGACTTTGCAGTGTAGTCCGTTGTATGAATTCTGGATGATGTTGACGATTTTCTCAGGTACACCATAGTGTCGAAAAAGGTCCCATAAGGTTCTTCTATTCACGCTCTCAAATGCCTTCTCATAGTCAAAGAAGTTGATGTATAGTGACGAATTCAATTCAATTGACTGTTCAATGATGATCGGTAGTGTCGCGATCTGGTTTGTGCACGACCGATCTCAAAATTGGGTGTCGACGGAATCTTTCATTCAGCAACACTCTGTCGAAGACTTTTCCTGGCACCGACAGTAGTGTGATGCCTCTGTAGTTCTCATATTTGCTCAGATCTCCTTTCCGCGTCTGACTTCAGTGCTTCAGCTGGTATATTGTCAGGTTCCACTGCTTTTCCACTCTTGATTTGTCAGATGGTCATCCTGATTTCTTCGATCGTTGGTGGGGTAGCAGCTATAGGAAGGTTTGTAGGTGCTGCTTCTATATCCGACAAATTCAATGGAGCTGGCCTATTCAAGAGTTCCTCGAAGTATTCTACCCTTATGTTCCCCTGTTCATAAATCTCAGTGATTGGCTTACCTTCCTTGCTCTTGTCTGGTCGTTTTGGTTTGCTATATTTCCCTGCTAGCTTCTTGGTTGTGTCATATAACTGTCTCATATTTCCTTCTCTTGAAGCTTTTTCTGCTGTCATTGCTAGCTCTACCAAATATTTCTGCTTGTCTGTTCTAATGATCCTCATCACTCTAATGTTTGCTTCTGTGTACCAGGTCTTCTCCTTGAGTTTTTCTGCTCTTGTTTGACTGCTGTTAATTTCTGTCTTTTTGTCTTTCCGTACTTAAATAATACCCACGGTTTCGATAGAGATCCATGCTTTATGATGATGCTTTTTGCGGCCCAGACTTTTTTATTGATATAAATGTGACCAATCTTTGTACCGTGATCCGGCGAGACTAATGTAGCTTTGTGGGGGAATATAATGTCACCTATAAACATTTCATCGAATTCACATAAATTTACAAATTTTTGACGATTCTCGTTTCCTTCTCCCAGTTCATGTCTGATGTTGTCCGTTCCGACTTTGGCATCTAGATGTCCCGTCAGGAAGGTCAAGTCCTTTCCTGGGCACTTCTCTATAATCGACTGAAGCCTCTCACAAAGCTGATCTGTATCGTCTTTGTTGCTTTTATTGGTGGGTTCGTAGTACCGAATGAAATTCATTGTAATCCCCTCCTTTATTTTGAAAGATTATTTGGTAACCCTGGATCCATGAGATTCCCACCCTATAAGTGGTCTTCATGCCTCTCTGAAGATCAGTGCAACTACTTGTGTGAGCAAAACACTTTCTTCATGATCAGAATACGGCAGTACCTCTTCCATAGCTGATCTTTTCCGTCCAGCTTTTGCCCAATGGGTTTCACTTATTACGAGCACGGCCAAGTTGTATCTCCTCATTTCCGCAGCTATTTGATTGGTCCTCCCGATCTGCCACATTATCCGGACATTCCATGTACCTATATTAATTGTTGCTCTGGTTATTAGAAGGGGGTAACGGCCTCGTGGGTTACGAAGAATATCGGCTTTCAACATGAGGCGTCATAATTCCCGAGGCAGAGTTTAATTGGTCTGTCATTTAAACTAACGATAACTAATTTGAAGGGTGTATTTACTTCATGTACGAGTATTATATATACGGAAGTTAAATGATCTAATGTGCTTCAAATACGTAATAATGTGTAATATAACTTACTTTTCGAATACCGAATTACGTACTTCGTTACACTTTATATCTTAACACTAAACTCACTATCTAGTTGCTTAAAATGAAGTCAATAACAAATTATATGAAGTAATTAGTTTTTGAAATAACTCTGTTAAGAAGCCTGGTATGCAATAAAATCAGACTAAATATTAATAACTCACCACAGTCGTATTGTATCAGACGTGGATCAGGGAATTGAATACGACAGGACATAACCAACTGATGTAACTTTGATGGCATCAACCACATCTGAGGACTCCAAGTTGTTAAACGGTTCAAGGTTTTTCGTTCATGATATTCAGATGAGTTCATAGGAAAAAACAAAGGATGTAAACACCCTGAGGATAGAAGCATATCTCGAATCCGAATTTCTTGATTGATAAGTTGATGCTCCAGAGCATGATTGGAAACTTGAAGTGTAAAACCCGATGATATAACAGCAGGCACTACAAAAACGAACCTTTTAGAAAGAAATCAAAGGGCTAACTATTCGATACATAAAATAACAATTTAACAGAATTTAATGTAGATTTAAGGTATTCCGATGCTACATATCACAAAGTTACTTACCTTTTCGACAAAATCAAAGCATAACATCAAATATGCTATTAACATTGAGAAACCATAGCCGCTTCTCCATATACAAATAACACATGCAAATACATTAGACTAACAAAAACACAAACGTACAAAACCACTTGAAATACATAACTGAGAACACAATTTTACAGTGGTAGATAATAGGTTTATCATTTGTATTTCAGTAAGAAATCATGGTGAAGAGATTAATAATTTTAACCTTTGTATATTTAGCTAAATCTTGATTCGTCAGCTGTTTGCACTGAACACTAACTACTTTACCTACCTACCAATGCAGGTTTATCATCGCGATAATTACCATTATTCTAGCCTAAGCATTGACACTAAATAGTCCCCATGACAATGAAAAGTCAGAGTATAGTGCTTTAATTGTAACCTATGGTAAGTGAATATAGGAATTTTGACATTATAGAAAAGACAGTTGGTCAGTAACGGAGTTCACAAAAAGTGTAGCGAGAAATATATTCTAAGTATTACGGTTAAGGGAAGGTTATAGAATATTTAACAGAGTAACAACATATAAACTATCCATCGTATTATCATGAATAAATATTTGTAAAATTGAACAAATAACTGTATGTATTTTGTTATCGTAAGATCAATAAGAAACCAATGTAATGAAATAAACGATAAGAAGACTAAATCATTATCTTTCTAACTAAATTTCCATTAACTGTAACTTATGATCACGGTGGTCATCTGAGTTTGCAGAGTTGGAACAGCAGTTCAGTTGTTATCAGGAATTCTTTTATCTTCAATATGAGCATAAAAAATTGGGACCTAATGGATTACAGTATTTACTGGGTTGCCGTTACGTGTGATTTAAAAACAATGAAGTCTAATGATGATAAGAACATGAATCCTGATGTCTATCCGAATTTAGTCTTTGTGTGCAAACGCAAAAGTAAGAAATGTCGGGATCCCAATCAACAGGAACTAAGGAGCAAAGACATTCAGAAATCTTACCTTTTGAGAATTTCGCGTAAATCATTTAAGTAATCACCGGGGCTGTGTAACATCTCTCGAAGAGAACGAGATGATCGAAGCCAGGACGTACGTCTAGAGCTAATGGATTCCATACTGAGTGAACTCATTTGATGTAGATTACCTTCAAAACAAGATATTTGGTCAACCGCAGAACTTATAATACTGCTTAGAGGAGAGCCCTTTACCGGCCAGGTACGCAGGCTTTGTTGACAGTAAACTGCGCCATTAATGAGACCAGGATACATGTGGACATCCTGTAGATTTTCGACAGGTTTTTCAAGCATCAAACGATTAATGAGAAAAATCAAATCTGGCCCAATGTGGGTTCCATGGTCCCAATACGTCCCAATATCATTTGAATAAGATTTGAACGTTAAATCACAACGGCGTTCATTAATTCTACTCATCAACAGCAATCTGTTACATCGTTCAACAAAACGACGACGTAAGCAGGACTTTGGCATACCAATATCCCAAGTATTTTTCGGGAAGTCAACTAAGCATAAAGGGATAAAAGAAAGACGAATAGTCTGTAAGACAAAATTTAGTATCAGATGTAAAAATTAACACAAGATAAACCTTAAACAAGTAAACGAAAAAGAAAAAATGATAATTTATTTGCTTGGTTATCATGATCAAAAAAGATGACAACCGAATGGGTAAAAACTCTTGCACTATATAAAATTCTTTTGTATACAATACGATCCATATATTATAACCTCATTTAGGCCTTCTTATTATCTGTTTCAGTAATTTTCATTCTAATCATGGAAACATTCATTGAATCAACAGATAACAACTCAAATGATTTAGATATACTCCAAACCTATTTCCGTTAGTTGGAACAAACAATACAACTTTTCAAAGCAAAAATACAACATACTAACTCCAATAACAGAATTATTGGATGGATATTGGATAAATGTAGCAAAAACGTTATACCTTTAACTATAGTGGGTTCGAGATTAGTGGGGGACGACAGCGCAGGATAATATCCATCAGCTAAATAAAACAGAAAAAAAATTCAAGTTTCGGTAACCGAAAAACAGAAAAAATTTCGAAGCAAAGTTGAATGCTTAAATCAAAATGTCACAAAGTTCATTTGTTTTCGTTACCACAATAATATAATATATATATTTCTAAGAAAACTTCATCGACAAGTGTACGTAATAAAAACTGATGTACCTCAATCATTTAAAATTTTAGATTCTATGTCAATTTTATTGAATTGATAGTGCAAAGAATTTTACGAGGGACATCAAAATATGTTTTTAGCGACTCAAGGCTTGGTTATATAGAAAAATAGCAGTGCTAATGTATTTAATCTGTTTTGCGAATAAGTTATGTAGTCATCGTAGTTGATAAAGTCGGCATATCAGAAATATTCCCGTGTTAGCATTTTTCGAAATCGGAAACCATTGTTTTAATGATAACCAAAACTGAAATGCTGTAAATACAGTCAGTAACAACGTGGAACTTCGTACGTACGTGCATCAGTTAGAGTTGCCATACCAGATATAACATAAATAATAAAAGAACAATATACAACTACGTCCCTACTAAGAAATAAACTAGAAGTGCGATGCGGCCCGAAGATACTCAGATCTGACAAAGCCAAGTCAGACAATAAAATCAACACATGCACTATTCACAATTACCAAAAGATAGATAATATAAATAAAATCTATCAATGTCTCAGTCATTTGTAAAAGTTTAACGCAGCTAATAATAAAAAAGACCACAAATATAATAAAAAAAGGCAGAGGTTAGGTGTAATTTTAATGAACCAGAGATATGAAAACATAAATGAGAGTAACAAGGGGGGAATACAGTGACATATAAAACAATTTGGTAAGTGGAGATATCCATATGATTTAATTAATGCAAGTGTAATGTATGTCCCAACAGTGGCATTGTATAGGTTTACAAAATATCCAGATTCAAACAGTTGGGGTAGCTGATATATAAGCATTTGGCCTACTGAAGTACCATGAGCATTACTGAAATTTAACAAATTGATGGTAGGTTACACAACATAGTATACTCTATGACATAACTTGGAGGAATTGGGAACAAAAATAGGATAAAAGATATGTTTCAAAAATAAAGAAACAAAAGCAAACACAACGTTTACATAAAATATATGATATTCTAGCACCTACAGATACCATTGTCAGAGCCGACCAGTTTAGAAGAAAGTAATCAGTACTTTCGAATCAAAATCATATTGAATAAGATAAACTAATTCTATGAGGTCTGACAAACTATAAAGGTGTCAGTTAAGGGTAACGGATTACTTGCAACTAATGAGTAGTCATATGAAAGCTTGGTAAAAGTGATATGGCCAAAAAATTGTGAAGCACATAATACTATCCACTCAATGGTGATTTAACACAACGGCAACGGATACTTACAATACACAAAACACTTTGAATCAAATAAGGGGGATCTGTTCAGAAATTCTCCTTGAGATTTTCGGGATTTCTTCAGTTCGTTAAACTGTATTCTCTGAGAAGTGACTACAAGATAAACAACACATATACACATTAGAAGCGAGATATTGTATGCTAAAGATTCAGTTGGAAATTCGATATGATTTGAAACAGCAGTTTGTTGTAAGACTTGCCTCGAAACAATAAAGAAACTTGAATTATCTATGATATATATATTTCGAATACAAAGAACAGGCATCAATCATAAACCATTGAAAGTCATTGAAAGGCGTACCTCAGAAGTACATAAACCTTGTGAAAGCTCTTTACTCGAACACTACTAGTCGAGTCAGAGCTTATGGCGAACTGTCATCGGCTTTCGCAACCTCAAGTGGCGTCCGCCAAGGCTGTCCACTTTCTCCATTTTTGTTTAACTTCATCATAGATCTACTGAAGGAAATAACGCTCTCATCGACTGAATTCTCAGGTATTGATCTCCTACCAGTAGGTCCACTTATTGACTTAGAATACGCAGATGACATAGTCCTGTTTGGTGAAGACGCTGATGAAATGCAGAGTCTTTTAGTAGCACTGAACAACAATGCCAGAATGTTTGGGATGCGCTTCTTCCCCTCTAAATGCAAGTTGTTGCTTCAGGACTGGTCTGCGTCAACATCTGAACTAAGGATAGGGGGTGAAGTAGTCGAACGCGTTGACAACTTCACTTATCTTGGAAGTCTAATCAGCCCTAATGGGTTGGTGTCTGACGAAATCTCAGCACGGATTCGAAAAGCTCATTTGGCCTTTGCCAACTTACGTCACCTATGGCGAAGGCGAGATATCCGTTTATCAATTAAGGCACGAGTATACTGCGCAGCAGTTCGTTCCGTTCTACTATACGGCTGCGTAACATGGCCTTTAAGAGTAGAAGATACTCGTAAGCTACTAGTATTTGACCACAGATACCTTAGAAATGTTGCGGGTATCTGCTGGGATCACCGGGTAAGTAATAGTGGGGTTAGACGCAGGGTATTAGGGAATGATGGTAAATCAGTTGATGAGGTTATGAACCTTCATCGACTGAGATGGTTGGGCCACATGTTGCGTATGCCTGAACACCGACTACCACGACGCGCAATGCAAACCGGTGTTAGGGATGACTGGAAGAAAGTTAGGGGCGGCCAAACCAAAACGTGGCATCAGTGCTTGAAGTCACTAACTTCTGGTCTGAGCCATGTTGGTAGATATAGAATGCCTGGTTCGGGTCCGCGTGACTATCATAACCAATGGTTGGAGACTCTTGGTGACATGGCTCAGAATCGATCACAATGGCGTCGGTGTATACACTCTCTGTCTTCCTTTAAACTAAGAGATTAAAATCGCTTCATATCTTTCTTTCTGGGAACTAATTCTTTCTTCCTGTACTATCTCTTTATACACACTCTTTCTTCTATATATTACCACCACTGAATTAACTACTTCTATGAATCTGATGTTCATGTTGTTGTGCTAATGCGGTATGGCAACTTGGACCGATGCATATACGTGCCTGGTCCTACGTTGCAGCTGACTGACTGACTGAAAACTAATGGTCAATGCCATGACATTCATTGTTTATAACAGTAATATTATTAAGCGAACGTTTCACGGTTTCAATGTGCTGGTTTTATGATCACCATGAACAATCTTTAAAGTCAGTCAGAAAGCTGCAACGTAGCACATGGCACATATACGTATCGGTCCAAGTTGCTATAACGCATTAGCACAAGATCAACACCGGATTCATAGAAGTAGTTAAGTCAGTGGTGGTAATGTATAGAAGAAAGATTGAATATAAGGAGATAGTACAGGAAGAAAGATTTCGTATATAGAAATAAATTGACGAAACACTCAAGACCACTGTATTCAGTCAGCTACAACGTGGGACCAGACACATGTGCATCGGTCCAAGTTGCCATATCGCATTAGCACAACAAGATGAACACCGGATTAATAGTAGTTAATTCAGTGGTGGTAATATATAAAAGAACAATTGCATATAAGGATATAGTACTGGAAGAAAGTTAGTTCGTAGAAAGAAAGATACAAAGCAATCTTAATCCCACGGTTTAAGGGAAAACAAAGAGTGTACACACCTACGCCACTGTGATCGATTCTGAGCCATGTCACCAAGAGTCTTCAACCACTCGTTACGACAGTCACGCGCACCCCAACCAAGTAGTCTGCACCTACCAACATGGCTTAGACTAGAAGTTAGTGACCTTATGGACTGATACCACGTTTTGGTTTGGCCACCCATAACATCATTCCAACCATCTCCAACACCAGTTAGCATTGCGCGTCGTGGTATGCGGTGTTCAGGCATACGTAACACGTGGCCCAACAATCTCAGTTGATGAAGATTCACAACATCATCAACTGATTTACAATCGTTCCCTAATACCCTACACGTCTAACCTCACTATTACTTACCCAGTGATACCAGCAGACGCGAGCAACATTTCTAAGATATCTGTGGTCAAATACGAGCAGATTACCAGTATCTTCTACACATAATGGCCATGTTTCGCAGCCGTATAGTAGAACAGAACGAACTGCTGCGCAGTATACTAGCCCCTTAATTGATAGACGGATATCTCGCCTTCGCCATAGGTGACGTAAGTTGACAAAAGTCAAACGAGCTTTTCGAATCCGTGCTGAGATTTCGTCAGACACCAACCCATTTGGGATTATCAGACTTCCAAGATAAGTGAAGTTGTCAACGCGTTCGACTTATTCACTCCCTATCCTTAGTTCGGGTGTTGACGCAGACCAGTCCTGAAGCAACAACTTGCATGTAGATGGGGAGAAGCGCATCCCAAACATTCTGGCATTGTTGTTCAGTGCTACTAAAAGACTCTGCATTTCATCAGCGTCTTCACCAAACAGGACTATGTCATCTGCGTATTCTAAGTCAATAAGTGGACCTACTGGTAGGAGATCAATACCCGAAAATTCAGTCGACTAGAACGTTATTCTTTAAAGTAGGGAAGCAATTTTATGATACCACTAGAAAGGAGACTAACTAAATTTTATGGATTACAATCTCGTATTATAGTTAGGTGCTGTTTATCAGATAGTAACTGTAACAATCTTCAATTTAAATAGGGAAAAATGGTAAACTTTCACTGTCAATATATACTACGATTTTTGAGACTGTAGGGAAATATTGTGTAGCGATTTCCTTAAACTCATTTTATATGAATAATAAACAAACACATATAACGTCGATGAACTGGTCAGTCAGTTAGTCTAACGCAACATAGAATTTGGAACATAAGTACATCGGTTCGAATTGTCATACCCCACTCGCACAGGGAGATGAAATCTTAAGGCCCAATCTCAGAGTAGTAGACGTAATAACACTACCAGTGGTAATATAAAAGATTATGCATCAAGTATACGATTCAAGAACATATAAATAAATGAAGAAAATTATGAGTTCAGAAAATTATAATCCAAGGGAAGATAAAAAGTGTATGGACCTTTATCACTGCAAACAATTTTAAGCAATGTCATTCAAAGTCTCTAACCATTAGCTACGATAATCACACGAACTCCAACCAGGTAGTCTACACCTATTACAATGGCTAAGTTCAACTGTCAGTGGTCTCATGAACTGATGTTTTGATATGCCCGTCTCTAGCTTTCTTCCAGCCTATTCTACGCTAGATAACATCACCCATCAAGGTAGGCAATGGTTGAGCATACATTCTACATGTCCCAACTACCTCAATTAATGAAGAATTACTACCTCATACATCGATTTTTCATCTTTACCGAATACTCTATTCCTAACCCAAGCATTACCTACTCAGTGGTTCCAAAATATACGAACAATGCTTCGAATATACATATGATCGAATACTATTAATCTATTAATATCCCTTATTCTTAAAGGCCATGTTTCACACCCAAAAAATAGAACGAAGTGAACTAATGGGCAGTAAACTCGGATATTTCTCCAACACCACAAGTGACGTAAGTTGGTAAAAGCCAATCGAGCTTTCTGAATTTGTGATGAGATTCCGTGAGACACTAGATCATCAGGACTGATGAGGCTCTAGATAGGGAAAGTGGTAGATAAGCCCCACTACTTCCCAGCCCTACATTAATTCTGATGAACTAGTTGCCTGTATATAACTTACATTACTGTTATGAATTAAATTACGCAAGGAATGTTAATTCTAGAGATTAAGAATACGTATGAAATCCACTTGTCTACATGAGATTATTTCTAGGAAGTATGGTGTGTGCGAAAACCATTTTATTTTTACATTGTATCTGTAGACAGAATACCTAGCAAGGAATGAAACGTTTCAGTACCATAATAAGGGTTGCAATAGAACATGAAACCACTAGTTTTTCCAGGTTTGTAAGTCTGTATACATCAGGATATTGATACACAAAAAAAGAAAATAACGAGAAACAGTATTTAGCCTCTATTATCTATGGTCTTTGATTACATAATATTCAAAATGATTTTGCCTTCACAGAATGCGAAAGTTGAGTAGTGACCAATGATCATGTTATAAGTTCATGATTACTTCAGTAACTGCTGAAAAATTAATATAGACTCTAGTTTGGGGAAGATAGCTTTGTTGATAAAATAACTAAAGTACTGGAAATAAATTAGATTAACTTGTTCACTAGGTACATGGGTACGAGCTCTACTCCAAGTGTAAGGTCTAATGATACTAGCGCGTCGCCCAAACTGAAGTGGGGTGAAGTTTGAACTATGAAATTCGTATCTGAAGGTCAAACGTCTTAACTACTAAGCCACCTCTCTTAAAATGAAGCCAAAACGTGGGAGATTTGTGGATGATAGTAAGCAATCAATATCGAGGTACGTTTCCAGTGGTAAGTATTAGAAAATATTAAACCATGAGAGTACTGATTTACTACGCTGTGCCACACAATCTTTGGACGACAAATAGTACTATGTGCAAAGAAACTATGGTACAAATCTGTGAGATTGATTGATTAACTGAGTACTCACACACCAATGTGACAAGATCATACTAAAATGGAATGATCAAACAAATATAAAATGATTTCAAAAGTTTTCTACGGAAGTAACTGTTTCAAGGTCAGAATTTTTAAGTCTAGTTAGCTGTACTCAAAGTTTAAATCCTATTATAGTCTCTTGAAACAAACCATACAGACCCAAAATAACGTATTTTCTCACATCAAAAGTAAAAATTATGGCGAAAACATCCAATACCTCGTGATTTTAGATCATTGTGGAAGATAATTTGATATAAAAAACCAAGATGATAAATAATTTGCAAAAGAGCACTAATCTTGCATAAGTTATACATTAAGGAATAAAAAGCACCAAACAACACCTACGACTCACCATCATCGATTACGTCACTAGAGTCAATAGTGGTAATCAAGTTTTCTCGTGCACACAATTGATGACATCGTCTTGCGACAAAGCCTGGTAAATCCCGAGCCATTTCGACTAAATTCATCGTTTGCCCCAAGAGACGAGCAACCAATCCCGCGGTATCCAACCAATCTAAATCAGGATCAGAAAATGCTGAAGCTGATCCGAAAACACTTCGACTACCGTTCGCGCTCGGGGCAAATACTAAGAAGGGATGACTCATAGATACCAGCAATCTTGGAAGAGAATATGTTAAATATGAATCGGCTACCCGGAACGGAGATATGATTGGCCTAGTTTCAAACAGATTTGGATGATTGCAAACCTTTCGTAGCTGCATAAGTATGTTCATGACTGATAGAAACTGGCCAGATTTTAAGGTTTCCTGAGTGCTATAGAATGAGCAACGAAAAGGTTTTAAACCTCAATTGGATAAAAAAACATAACTTAAAAAAGTTATACAAAGAGATAAATAACCAACAATTAACTTTTTTCTTGCTATTTCAAAGATGCACCATGAAGTGGTTTTGCGTGATTATACGAATTTCACGACGTTCGCAGTGGTTTAGATACCTCGTAACATGTCAATAAAAATTCTGTAGAGCTGAAGAAAAGGAAGACACTAACACATTCATAAAAAAAGATTTAGCCTCAATTTATTTCGAAGTGGAACAGACAATATGATGAGTACTCAATAATACAGAAAAAGCAAATCTTACTTAAGCACACTAGTGGTGAATTCTGACACGTGAAGAGATCACAAGACAATATTTTGTGCAGAAGTAGTCTAGTATTCCCTGTGTCACTACCACTAATCCAAGAAGTTTCGAAGTTGAGAAAATAATAATGCCCTTGCTAAGTACGAAGCTAACATAAGTAACTACATCCTAAAACATTTATCGTAACAAATACACTTAACTTCAGATTTAATCAAACGGTTATCTGTACATATGGATCAAACACCTATCAACATCGAATACATTACAAAAATAGAGAAATGTAATAAAGATAAGATTATTTTAAAACTGAATGTCCACAACCTAATTACATGTTTAAAAGATACGGTCGAGAGACTTAAAAAGCAATTTATAAGACAGATTACCTTCCAAGTGACATGAAATCATCGTATAAAAACCGTTGTCTTCTTGATAATCTACACATGATAACATGTTCGTACTTCTTTGGGAGTTGACGCTCAACATCCGCTTTGAGACGCCGTAACAAAAAAGGACGAAGAACTTTATGTAGCCTCTGAACCAGTAATTCATTATGGTCAGTATTCCCTTCAATCATCCCTATATGAAACAGAAAAACAAAACTATATGGACAACAAGCGAAGGTTGAGACGGATTCTTGAAGGATTCACAATATTAGTTATATGGTCTATTATAAGGCATGAACAGAAAAGACATTACTGCATGTATGACATCAGTTATTTTCTTGCTTCTCATAGTGTCTTTTATCTCACTCCACTAGTGAAATTATACCCGTTTTAAATGTATGAACACTGTTACTACTAAGCACGCTTATCAAACCTACATTCATGTTATTTTTTGCTTTTATATTTTTTAAAACTTATATTGTGAGTTCTTCATGTTATACGTCATTAATCTCGAACCATACTATACTTCGTTATTTTAAGAATATGTGCACTGATTATTCTAAATAAAATCAATCTAAATATGTACGTTACGAAACATTTAAGCACATCTATGGCGATAGAACTATCAACTTTTTGCTGTTGTTCCATGTGTTCTGCTTTTTTTCTGACTGCAGATCATTATAGGTAACCTATGATAGGATTGGAATCGCCTTCTTCATTATACAATTCATTCATAAACATGACACCTAAAATCTCCCACAAAGAAAATACAAGTTGTATACATCATTCCAAAACGCTCATTACGTTGTAGCTATGCCGCTTTCTCGACGTACTTATTAGTCAACTGTTTGCATACAAGACTGCCCGCAGATGCCTTGGTATGGCTGAGAGTGGGGAGAGTCAGACCAGTCAGTCAGCTGCAACGTAGGACCAGGCACGTATATGCATCGGTCCAAATTACCATACCGCATTAGCACAACAAGATCAACACCGGATTCATAGAAGTAGTTAATTCAGTGGTGGTAATATATAGAAGAAAGATTGCATATAAGGAGATAGTACAGGAAGAAAGAATTAGTTCCTAGAAAGAAAGATATGAAGCGATTTTAATCTCCTAGTTTAAAGGAAGATAGAGAGAGTCAGATCCCCCTCTCGAAATTCTCTCACATGACCACGCGTATACATTCACTGCCAGGGAAGTTCTACTCACTGCCTTCTCGTGGTGGGGGTGTTTCTCACGAAATTGAGAGGACAAAAGCGAATGGCCGGCACTTGAACCGGGTTGGTGGACACTCTGTGTCCACCTAGGGGAGTTGGAAAACCCTGATTCCAAATCAATGGTGTACATGGGCTTCAGTATCCTGAAGGAACAACTTTTAAACATTCAGCATTCATTTTCCATCAACCTGATCATGTCTATAAGTTGTTTTATGCAGAAAATAAAAGAAATTAAACACTCAATAGAACTTATTTACTAAAATTATGTTTGTTCAGTAGGTATATTCTTTCGCACTATAATGGTGTTCAGTAAGTGGATATCACACATATATATAGCAGCAATACAATGACTTACCTGTAATGGGTGAGGCAAACCATTCTTGAAAATCTCGATGAGATTGAAATATATTTGGCATTAAAAAATGCATCAAGGACCAGAGTTCCATTAAGGAATTTTGTAATGGTGTACCAGTAAGGAGTAAACGCCGCTGACTATTGAAAGTAAGCAGAGTTTGCCAACGTTGAGATTTGAAGTTTTTTATGTTTTGAGCCTGAATAAAATACCACAAACTAAACCTGAGAACTTTTAACAAACCGTGAATGAGTAATCAAATGCAAACCTATGAACCTAGTTAAAAAAAACCTGTAAAGGGAATAACAGAGAAAACTTTGGTAGACGAAGTTAGGATATCCGCATGGATATCCGTTAGGGAATAAATGCATACAGATCATTAACACGCGATATTGAAATGATATACGATGTGAACAGTTGTCGGAAGTGGATTATTCATTATGCACAAACAGCCGCCAGTTTTAAAGATACCGTCCATACCAAATATGTAATTTGACATTACCAAGAAAGTTAAACAAAATACTACGGGCAAAAAGCAAAATCTAGTGATGACAAGTTTGAAGTATGGCGCTCTGAGATACTATCTATGATTCTAATTTTCTGCTTTTGAACAGTTAATCGTAATTATAAAATTGAGCAAATACTATTTGACGTTAACCCGGTATAACCAAGAACGAGCAGTGGTAACAGATAAGTGAATTCTGCTCAGAAAGTTTCATGCAAGACCCCAGAATCTTCTTGTGTAAAATTGTAAATATAACGTTTTCCTCATTGTGATTCACTACTATTCAAATTAATTTATTTAGAATATGACTTCGTACCTGGCCAAGCCGTGTTGTGATTTTGGGGAATGGATGGAGTTAAGGATCCGAAGAAGACTAAACAATAGGAGTAAGTGAATTAGATGAGAAAGACTTATTATCTTTCCAATTCCGAATCGGGAAACCAACCAGAACATATTTTAGAAATCCATAAAATGCATGACTGTGTTGACAACTAGCTAGAAGCCACTTGATTGATTTTTCATCATAACACCATGCAATCAGAAATAGACCTAACTTTCGAAGTACTGATAAATAGAATAGCCGTAAGACGACTGAACTAATAATCTTTTAGTATGAAGTATATGATCATATGCAGCTGTAAAACTTTGCTGCTGCAACAAATACTTATAAAATCGTCTGATAAATACTCACACTAAATGTTTTGATTTTCATGATTTCATAGTGTAAAACAATGAAAGGAAAGAAGTTAACACATTACACAAAGTTTGAATCAATTACCTCGTCTAAAATGAGATATTTCCATTTTTTACGTTTAAAAGCGATTGCGTCTTGAATAGCTAATCTGTATGATGTTATACATACATGAAAAGCATTTGTTTTCGTCCAACCCTAAAAGTAAATTATAAACTTTGAATATTTCTGAGGTTATCAAAGTGGTTTAACGCGCAAACTATATATCTGCAATCATGAACTGACCTTTCTTTTATATTTTCTTTCTTTCATGTTACCAAAATAAGTCAGGATCTTGAAAGACGGACACCAGCGTTTGAATTCCACCTCCCAATTGAGAATAACACTAGTTGGGACAACAATCAAATGAGGCCCCCAAACTCCTCGCTCACAAGCTAAATAGGCCAGTAGTGAAATCGTCTGGATAGTTTTACCTAGACCCATTTCGTCAGCGAGGATTCCATTTAAACGCTTGTCATAAGTGGCGACCAGCCAAGACAAGCCAACTAACTGATATTCCCTAAGATTGCCACCGGAGAGGAGAAAGGGGGAAGATACTGTAGCTAAGCCAACTCCTGAGGAAGCATTTTTTCCTTCATTCGTTGTAGACTGTAAAAAAAAGTAATAAGATGGAGGCTTCAATGTTTAGGAAAATAGTATACGTAATCACGTGAATCAAAAGTTTGTGAACAAAAATACCACTAATTTAGTTATATATGGGTCCTTCACTTAAGCAATGCTGAGGTTACATCTCACAAAAAAGCTAGTGCTTTACATACGTTCCAACCTAAAACATTTGCTACTTTCAAAAGTAGATGTTTGTAGTAGGGATAGTTTAGGTTACTTAGTTTTTCGTTAATTCTTTCTTTAAGGGATAACCTTGATTACATCTTTCTAATACATATTTCCGTAACGACCTTTTTTTGTTATCTAGTTGGCTGTAGCCATTTTCGGTTTGCTAATTGTTGTCCTAAGGTAATTGGGTGTTTATATATAAGCAGAATTGTTCTGTTTTAATTTTTGACTTCTATTGGGAATATAAAGCTATCCTGCCTTTATCTCAGATTAGCGTGTAAACCACTAACACCGAATTGTTGTGTGATACATTCAGTTTATTCAAGTTCCCATTCATTCGCCTTCTTGTTAGAAGAATCCCCATCGTTCCGTAGTTACCAATTACTGTAGGTTAGTAACGAACTAAGATACAACAGCGTCTAACGACACTTAAGAGTCCCGAAATAGTCGTCATATTAGTCTAATTAACTCACGAAACGCCTCATGATTAAAATTCAGAGAAATCTTGATATACATAGAAGAATGAGGTAATTATTAAACTGCATAACTAGGTTAGTGAATATGAACTTAATCTGAACAGTTATAAAAAAAGATAAATGTCAGTGGAACTGATGAATACAAGCTTAAGAAAGTATCTTAATTAGATGATAATTGTACGAGAATGCTTTAGACCCGACACAGGTAACTTTGAAAACAGAAGGCTACGACTAGAAACTGTGTACACACATCATTGGTGGAGAATATATTTAGTCTTGAAATAAATACGATTCACACGTAGCCCCCAAATGCCCTGGTATGGCCGAGAGTGGGGAGAGTTCGCTCTCTCTCGAAACGCTCTCACATGGCCACACGTATATAGCCTCTGCCAGGGAAGTCCTACTCACTGTCTTCTCGCGGCGAAGGTGTTGTTTACCAAAATGAGAGGACGAAAAGCGAATGTCCGACGCTTTAACCGGATCCCAAACCAATGGTGCACATGAGCTCCAGTATCCTGGTGGACCTAATGGCGTATGAACCAATCGTTGGTCACCGGCTACCATGGGACTGCATCTCCATACGATGCTCCACTGCCTTGTGGATCAGATCTTCAGGTCGAAGGCTCGGGGTGTGGCACTCTAAGAAAACCACCTGCTTCGGTTTGGGTATCCGGGCAGTATCATAGCCCTCGCACAAATCAAATGAGATTTGTGTGGCGCATATGTATTTGATGCCTCCTTGTACCAATATCTATGTGTTAAAATAAATAAATAAATAATAGGTTTTAATTGATGAAATTAACAAGTAAAGCCCACATAAAGTCAAATTTAATCCTGAAACAATTACCTCAATATTCGGTTCACCCGCAGATGTTTGACAGGATGACTTTTGTGTTTCTTTGCCTTTACTGTTAGTGAGAACCACATTAGTATTACTTTCAGCTTCCATTACACTAGCATTTACTTCGTGATCCATAAGCCTTTTTAGTGTTATTTCAGAACCCCTTTTTACTGATGGACACTCGTTTACATTTGAGTTCGCTAGTTGCACTTCATTATCAGCATCTTCAATCTCTTTAGTTAGTAGAGACTGTGAGTTTGATTTTACATCAAACGTGTTTGAGGAGATTTCGAAGTTGGGCTCGTTCTTATTAGCGGAATTGATCATTGTTTCTTTCAGTGATAAACTTACTTCTAATTTAGGCATATCTAACTCTTTCTTTTCAAAGACAGAAACATGAACTTCAGACTTAGTTTCTTCACTTTTCTCTGGATACTGACATTCGTTAGGGATTTCAGAAGAGCATGTGATGACCTGACAAACTGCATCAGCTTCTATACTTTCACTATTGTATGGTTCGCCAGAATCCTTAACCTGTATATAAGGAAGGATAATAATAACAAATTATAAAACATATATACATGAGACCCATTAAAATGAACCGATACTGCGAAAATCACTTATAATATGAGTAATTCATTTGATGAATTTCTACCATCAGTTGAAGTAGCAAAGTAAAAAATTACTAGTATGCGTCCGAAAATAGTAATCCTCATTTATAAACAAGAAAAGAGGACGGAAAACGCATTAGTTGGAAAAATCCAGTGAATGACTTTTTCTTGGAATCGATGGATCAATTTCAGTTGACGGAATACCGTTTTGAAATAAGACTGGGCTGTTCTAGTAATTTAACCTGAACAAAATAAAATAATAATAGTGACGAAGTGAGAAACAACTGTAACTTAGTTTCATTTTGTCCGTCAGTCAGCTACAACGTGGGACCAGACACATGTGCATCGGTCCAAGTTGCCATATCGCATTAGCACAACAAGATGAACACCGGATTAATAGTAGTTAATTCAGTGGTGGTAATATATAAAAGAACAATTGCATATAAGGATATAGTACTGGAAGAAAGTTAGTTCGTAGAAAGAAAGATACAAAGCAATCTTAATCCCACGGTTTAAGGGAAAACAAAGAGTGTACACACCTACGCCACTGTGATCGATTCTGAGCCATGTCACCAAGAGTCTTCAACCACTCGTTACGACAGTCACGCGCACCCCAACCAAGTAGTCTGCACCTACCAACATGGCTTAGACTAGAAGTTAGTGACCTTATGGACTGATACCACGTTTTGGTTTGGCCACCCATAACATCATTCCAACCATCTCCAACACCAGTTAGCATTGCGCGTCGTGGTATGCGGTGTTCAGGCATACGTAACACGTGGCCCAACAATCTCAGTTGATGAAGATTCACAACATCATCAACTGATTTACAATCGTTCCCTAATACCATACACGTCTAACCTCACTATTACTTACCCAGTGATACCAGCAGACGCGAGCAACATTTCTAAGATATCTGTGGTCAAATACGAGCAGATTACCAGTATCTTCTACACATAATGGCCATGTTTCGCAGCCGTATAGTAGAACAGAACGAACTGCTGCGCAGTATACTAGCCCCTTAATTGATAGACGGATATCTCGCCTTCGCCATAGGTGACGTAAGTTGACAAAAGTCAAACGAGCTTTTCGAATCCGTGCTGAGATTTCGTCAGACACCAACCCATTTGGGATTATCAGACTTCCAAGATAAGTGAAGTTGTCAACGCGTTCGACTTATTCACTCCCTATCCTTAGTTTCATTTTTAGGAAAAGAATAAGAAATTTACACAACGGATAGGACTAAACAAATTGATGCATAAAAGAATACCATAAAGCCTGTTTGTTCGTGGATTTTGTAAAGCAATCCATGTCTGTAATATGTGTGACCAATTAAAAATACTAGCATGTGGAAGAAAAACATAGTCCAGAAAACTAAGTACTGTCTTGAAGATATTTCTATTTCGACTTCACCCAATAAATAAATAAGTCTGAAAGTCATTCCTTTGAGGGAAACACTAACCTCACTGGCTGACGAATGTTGTGCTTCTGAAATCACTGAAGAATTAGATGTGATGAATTCGAGATATCCGGGAGGCAAAAGATCTTCTAATGGACAATCGGCATCAGCTGCTAATTGTTCAAGCTCCACAGCTGTAGAAGTCTCAGAACCATGTTGATCTTCTATGGCGATTTTTTCTTCCTGCTCTATAGTTTCTTCATCATCAACTTCATTCAAAGCTACTTCATCTACCTGCAAGAGAAACAGGTTAAGACGTTTCAAAAATCTTCGTTAATACGAAAAGACGCAGAACATATTGGGTATTAGCGTTTTTTGCTGAAGGGCAAAAAATCAGATAATTATGTCACAAACGTACAAACAACAATCCTATTATAACCAAGATGGAAAATTGACACAGTCAATGCAGTAACCCATGCCCAAAATAGTTGGTGAGTTAGTTGACAATACAGTACACATACAGAAGTTTTAATGCCTAATCATGTTACGAAATCGATAATGTGGACTTTTTCAGGGAGATGAAAAACTCAATTACGCTGATAATATTTCACTGAAGTATTGAAAAATGTGTTGCTTCTCGAAAATCGTAAGATATACCGAAAATAGACCTTCGTAAATTTCGTTTGGAGACTTTCAAACACGCAGTTATCATCGGTAAGAATGATTATAAAACTCATTTGTTATTTACTTTGAATTATTCCTTAATTACTAATGTTTAGTATAGATAGGATTTAGGGGTGGACTGAATATATTATCTAATTAATTCTTCAGTCGAAACGGGTTTGAGCCTTCCACCAGGTAATATAGATATTAAACTTAGTAGTTAAAATGTTTTTCTTAAAGTAAGCGGTGATACGAAGAAAAGTAGACAATCGCCAAAAATGACACTTCATTTTGTCAATGTACCATTAAATATTGCTGAGATTTAGAGTAATCTCATGCAAAATTACTGCTAACCTCAGTTAAAAGTAGACTGCACAACGTTCTGCTTGATAACTATTTTTGAAACTATACCACATTGTATTTTAACCCCTTTGAAGACTTACTCATAAAGCTAATAGTATATATACCGCAAAATAAGGTCTACAGGAACAGTGGTCAGAATGTTAAAATCAAAAATGAAGACGAGAGACGAAGCGTTTTTAAAAAGTAACTCACAGTGAACTCTTCGTCGGATGTGTCAAGTTCCCTTACAGGAGATTTCAGAATACACTGCCCACTATCTGATACATTTTCGTTTTGATTGTTGCCTCCAGATGACTGAATACTACTAACAGTAGTTTTCTTTGGTTTAGAACTGGTTATTCCTTCAGTTAACCAACGAGTATACTCCTCAGTTGTTTCAAGTACTTGACCAAGATGTGAACTAATGGCTTGCTGACGTTTAGCAGTTAGTCGTACTTGTTGTTTGGCTTGAACAATCTATATAATACAAGTTTGAAAATATTAGGTATTGAGGTCACAAACAGTGAGATACTTAATCAAAGCAACACTTGAAAAAGCATTATATTTTAGGTTACACGTCACTAGATCATAAAGACTAACTGTAAAGGCAAAAATAGCTCTTGAAACCAACGGTCACTATTAAAAACTCGTTTGATACACAATAATATTACTTAGGACTAGTGGTTAGCACGGGAATAGTTAAGTCACCTGATGAGAAGGCTCAGGAATGAATGAAATAGGGGGTTATACTGTTCTGGTTGCTAGAGATATGACAGCTTGCACGTAAATGAAAGTAACGATAAAGATTCCGTTTTAGATAATACTTCCAAAAGACGATTTTATTCACTTAACACTGCATTAACACTAACGAGAGATATACAGAAAGCGCTAAACAAAATACTTCAAATGGAGTGTTTACTCAGTAAGAACTTGTAAAAATGAGTTGAATACTAGTCGAATATTAGCTTAACGAGATGTAGCAATAAACTATGCTTTGTACAAATGGTGGTATTATATTCGTTATTTCAAGAGTTTGAACCCACAAACTATCAAAAATGCACTAATGCATTATCCAACTGAATAGGGATGTTAAAACCTGAATGTGACACAACTACAAAAATGTATAGTACTAAGAATAACTCTTATCGACCAATAGGCTTCATTAAGGTATCGATTCCTTTTAGATAAAATTGACAGAAAAAAGATATCATACACATAGTCCCCTTTATCATCTCAGAGAGCAAGAACGAAGATTGGTGCAGAATTATATGGGAACCTAACGAAATAAAAATACTTTGCATTTAAGTCTATCCCGGAAAAACTTGTAAGTAGTACATACCTTATCCATCTGACGCCACCAATCACGAACCATCCTAGCAATAAATGCACACATCTTCCGAATACGGACCACCTCCTCCTTTTCTATTTTTAACGCCCGTTCACTCTTGTCTCGACAACATTTGAGGGCGGTTAGTGCAAGCTTAAAAAGTAAAAAGTAATAAAATATTCAGGACAAATTTGAAAGAACCATTTACGAAACATTTTTTCGAGATAATACTATTGAAAGATCTTTTAGACATGAAAAACAACCCATTAAAACTTTAGAATAGCTCTATATGTGAACGCATAAAAATAAACATACTTTCTTAGCGGACACTCGTTTCCATTGACGTTCACGCTTAAAATCTTCAGCTAACCAATTAATTTCTGCAAACATATAATCACTGTAAGTACGATATGTTGGCTCAGAAGGTGGAACTAAAGAAATACTAGTTGAGATATCGATACTTCCAGTTTCTGTTGTTCCACAAGATGAATCGTCGATTGACCATAAGCCATCCCGTTTAAGTTCAAGGACACGTTTGAGAATGCTTACTTCATCCACTGCATATTTCAGTAGGGAATTCTCGTCCAACCGACGCTGCAAGACAATAAGTACCAGATAGATCATATTACGCTGTGAAAAATATGGCTGAGAATTTATTACAAGTTACAGTAAAAGTGATTGTAACCAATATCTTTCACGATCTTTATTCCTACAATCATGTCGACCAAGCTCATATAACTGTTGCAAGCTCTCGAAATTCGGGCAGAACCCCCATTTGGGCAACACAACTCATCTAGTAAGATAATGAAGTGACTCATCGTGAGCATATTCAAACCAGTGTTCGACTTTTCTACCATTTAATTACGTACCCTTTAAATCTTTAACTAAGCACGAGAATGAGTACCAAGTTAAATAAATCACCATGCTATTTGTTTCTGTAAAAATAAATATCACTTTAGAAAACTTCACCACCTCATTTAGTTTAAACTTGTCAATGTAAACATGTACACTTCTGACGAGAAAAGTTTGAAACAAGTCTTTCTTTAATACTGCCTAAAAATAACAGTCCGTAGTTCGTTCCTCTGCCTTGACACTGAAGGTAAACACGAGCAAATGACTGATGATAAGACACGATATTTCTGCCCTAACATTTTTATTGAAATATATGGTACAGTAACACACTCCTACGAGTAGTGTATAATTAAACTGAATAACTGCGGTTACTGAACACACAAGACTCACAAGAAAAGAAAGTTTACAAGTAACGTAATTACATAACTTACTTCGTCTTCGTCATCCTCTGAGTCATTATCCAAAGAGACTGGTTGGGAACCCAAACAAGAAGGAAAAGCCCCATTCGGTGGGAAAATAGCATCGCTATTAACATGTCCCGACATGTAATCACTGACCAAGGAAAGGTCCTCTGGATCAAGATGACCTGAGCAAAGTGCTTGCATTAATTCTTGCGTTTTTTTTCGCCTCCATTCATAAAATTCAATAAGAAGAGAACCACTTTGTATAAAATTTAGTTCGACGACATCTTCATGATAAAATGACTGAACTACATGAAGCAGCTCACGGAGGCAACATACTACTTTGTTTCGCATTTCTAGATCCGAATGGGTTCCTGTGATGGTTCCATGGACGTTTACAGCAGAAGCGTCTGGAACCTTCTCAAATTTGGTATGATCAGCGTTATCGATTTCAATCATCTTGTCGTCTCATTTGAAAGGCCATTTGGGCTGTTTCTGGTAGGAAGAAAATAACAATTAGAATCACAGAAACAATAATAAAACCCTTTAAATGAAGAAGGAATAAAACACGAAGACATTATCACTTACAACCAGTAAAATACTGAACCAAATAATCTCAAACATGCAAAAATAAGTTTCCCGACTAAAATACTTCTACTTTGGTCCCAGCAACGATATTACCTTCAGAAAAAACATACTACCAGACTTTTGTAGATAACAAATCAACGAAGAGAAGACGAAGTACCGTCAATCACAAGACGCATTGAAACACTGTATGTTCAATATTGAATAAGATTGTAGAGCGTGTTTCACGACAAATTCTAAAACATTCTGAAAATCATGGATACTAACAGAAAAGGAACATTGTTTCTATGCCTCTTTAATGCACGATTAGAAGTTTTGTACCACCAATGTGATGGTTCGTGTGATGCTACGAAAGTTTGAGTAATTAATATATATATATATTTATATATATATATATATTTATATATATATATATATTTACTTCTACAGTCTCCTAAGTTTTCAAGATTTTATTGTCTTCCAAATCTTTGAGCATGTAGATCAACATGTAGGACCAGTGAAATGACATTAAGCCTTAGCCAAAGCTTGCTGAAGTTGGGTCACTAAATAGCGAACAATTTATCGATCGTTGTTAAGGTCAGAGACAACAAACGTGCAACAGTTAATTGCAAACCATGAACTGGCTCATGCAGAAGTGGTCGCACTCTGTTCCTTGTATCTATTCTTACTAGTATATTTCTTCGATAACGTCGTTTTTGTTGTACGGTCATAGAAACAGCTATAGTATACGGATACGACGAAAGTGTAATTCACGTTAAGTACTAAACGCGAGGTGTGACTTCGACGTTAGCATGTTGATCCAATTAGAGTATGACCCCAATCTTCCGGAACGGATCATTTAGGTTAGAGATGTATACACGAATAAAAATTGGACGTTACTCTTATTGCTAAGTGCTTAGTGTTTGATTTGATCACTGGACCGATGACAAGCATAATTACAAAGTAGTTCCGCATATGGTATATTACCCAGAGTAACCCATCAGAAATAACCCGGTAAAGAACCAAAATGTTATGTGTAAATGTATTCTGCAATTATATCTGTGGTCTATCAGTGTGACAATTGACTAAGTCAAAAAAAGGGAGTGTATGAGCAGCAGTCTATTTGTGAGCAACAACCAGTGTGCCATCTAGACAAGAATAAAAAGTACCATAAAATTTGTGTCATGCATGTGCAATACTTTTGTAATCAATAATGACCATTGTTCAAACTGCGTGGAATTATGGAAAACTTGAGTTGTGATTAAAAGTATTCATAAAACAAGTTCACCTTAGTCATAATACCACATTCCCAGTCTCTTTAAAAAACTATATGCAGTGCGAAATGTTATGGATTTGTAGTCGGATTACCCTCATTTTCAACAGCCTGTTAAATTAAGCGCATAAGTGGCTTCGTTTGGAATAACTGATGAAACTTTGGTAACCCTTTAGTTTAACTTTATTTTGGGTGTTCTGGCGGATTAAAAAATCAATCTGGGAACTAAAGCTACGTTTCCTTTTACTTGTCACCAAAGTAACTTCTGTTCTGGCCATATCGTTTCCGCGCTGGTTCATTTTTAAGTTTCATGATAGTAAACAGCTTCAAAAATGGTCACCAAAAATTCTGAACTACTAGCAGATTGATAAGCAAATAGTATTTCGTGAATGACTATTAGGCTTGTAAAGAAGCCGACCATAATCTGAGTCTGACTAAGTTATCAATTTTCATATTTATTCATAAGGAAATGAAATAAGCACATCTGATAATTACAATTTTTTAGTAAATCTCAACTATTCTTTTTGACACGTGTGAAGAAATGAGACATATTTCGTGCCTGTAGGTAACCCTCGTGCTATTGATAGAAGAAACCAGACAAGTAGCGATTATGTCTTTATTTAGATCTTCGCGCAGTCACAGTGGAGCGTATGATTATCTGTTCAGACAAACAAAGCTTCTCAACATTCAGTATAAGATAGTAGGGAATATAACGCCTATACAAAGTAAGGAAGTGAGTGGGTACTTGAACTATACTGTTTTGACATATGCTTAGTTGATTGAGGTCAACTCTTAACCAATCAACCTAAGCTATTACAAATAAATTCATTATATTTAACATCATTCCTGGTTATACTCAAGATTTTAAACCTTTCCACACGCTGTTCGATGGCTTCAGAATTTTGATGCATATAAAGCTGTTCTACCACAGGCTTCAACATGATATCTACATGATAATGAGAAGTAATCAAATTCATGTGCTAAGAATTCGAATCAACCGCAGAATAATGTACAGATGACATACTTATACAGAATCATTGAATAGACACTACGTTTTCATTCTCTGAATACTGATTTTAAGGGCCAGAAATAAATGATGTTAGCATGCGAATCATAAGATGGCATGATGGGCTTCAAAAAAAGTATTTATAAAGGACAGCCTCTTAACTGGACCTTGAAAGAATGAGAAAGTAGCTGTCTTATAAAACAGTAGTAAATGTGGTAACCACAAGGAATAAATGTATGTCAAGTGAATAATGCAGGTATACCAATGTTACATGTGTAACACAAATTACAAAAATGTCATAAAACAGTAACTCCAGGGTCTAAACAGTGGAAAAGAATAAAAAGTAGTCTAGGAGAACAGTAATTATGATACGGTTAGATATTATGGCCTGAAAATCCCCTAACTAACTTTAACCTTGCTATCTGCACTACATGGTTAATTTATTGAGGTATATAGATTTATTCTAACGTCAAATGTGAGTTTTCCTAGTTAGGTCGCACTGATGATATGCTAGTAAAATTATCGTTCGCCTGACACAAAAAGCGTAACGACAGGAGGCAGGATACGAAAAGTTGAGGAATAATGTTATTATAGCGTGAAAAGAGCGAACCAAGAATAGGCAACTATACGATTCTCAACAATCAGAAAGTATTTTATCAATGAAACAGTGGCCAGACTAGCAAACATACAGACGCTAATGTTTTTTAGGTCACTGACGTAGATTATCTGTATCGCATGATTAGTGTCCTACTCTAATTGGATCAACATGCTAACGTCGAAGTCACACCTCGCGTTTAGTACTTAACGTGAATTACACTTTCGTCGTATCCGTATACTATAGCTGTTTCTATGACCGTACAACAAAAACGACGTTATCGGAGAAATATACTAGTAAGAATAGATACAAGGAACAGAGTGCGACCACTTCTGCATTGTAATGAAGGAGAACACAGGTGAAGGCAACCGACTATACTTAGCACCTAGTAGAAATATAAAAACCATACTCCAATAATTCGTTTGCAAAATGTTCACTAATTGTCTCAGATTTCAATACTTCTCCATTTCCATACCAATTTCTTTCTGTCCCCATTCTTATCTTCTCAATTTTCCCAACTTTTCGCTGCCAGATACACTATTCTTGACTAGCGTTATATACTACATATGTCGATATAAGTAGCATACACCACACTCATCCCTTCTTTTTATAAGCTCTTCTGGATATCTTTCCACTCTCTGTGCTGCTGTCTTCTTTGATGCTTTTCGGGTCTCGCACTCCTGAAACCGTCTCTGCAGTTGACTGGTATTTATGCACTTCTGCATATCTTCTCTCCGCATCGTGTAAACCGAGCCACGTCCCTACGTGACAATTAACGATCCTCCCCACTACGGATTCAGCTTTCTTGACCCTGGTCTCCTACTGCAGAAGGCTTCCACGTTCCCCTCTGATATCCGGCCTTCTTAGTGACCGATATTTGTTTCTTCTCCATGTTCCTTATTGCCTCCCTTCTCTCTGTTCTTGACGTTTTTGCCATCCATTTATTATGAATTGAAAGTCCTGGCTGTCTACCATACGCTACTCGTGTATCCCACCACTCTATCGGACTGACTCGGGATCACTTGCGTCTGTGGTCACTGTAAACGGTTTCACGGGTTTAGGCTGTCTGAACATCATCTGGCGATCGTCTAGCATGTTTTTGATTCGGTTGAACGTTTGTTGGGCAGTCTCAGTCCACGCGAGCTTGGTGTTGCTCAACAACTTATATAGGGATGTTGCTGATTCGTCGAAGTTCTTGACGAACCGACTGTAGAACGCCGTCGTTCCCAGGAACTGTCTTTATTTCCTTTTCAAATTAGGTACTACAATCTTCCTAATGGTAAGAATTTTTTCCGTCAGTAATTTTATCTCTCTATTTCCTACTTTATACCCCAACAACGTGACACTATTTTTCGCTATCTGCAACTTGTCCTTATTGATTCGAAGTCAAAATTCTTCGATTTGCTTTAAGACCACTTCCACATGCGTGACATGATCTGTTTTTGTATGGCTGTACACAAACACATCGTTGCCATACACCTCGATGTTATCTTGATCATTGAGCAGCAGCGTCATTAATCTTCTGAACGTAAACGGTGCAACCATCACTTATTATGATATCTGAAGCATGGACTAACAGTAATATTTCCGACCTAAGTATATCTCTTGACAACTATTTCCTATATAGAAGTGATAGATTGAAGGGACGAGGCGGAGGATGCCTGATTTACGCTCACTCTAGCCTAAACTCACTACTATGTGATATGCCTGAACTAAACAAACTGAAGGATTCGGTGTGGATTGTATTAAAGCCGTCGAATTCCGTTACCTTACTGTTCGGCTGTGTTTACCGTCAACCTAACGCATCAATAGATGACATAGCAATACTATCGGAGGTATTCACACTAGCATCATCTCTTCCATTCACAGGCAAGCTTATTTGTGGTGACTTCAACTTGCCCGAAATTTCTTGGTTCCCAGTCAAGGCGCCGAAACGTTATGAATCATTTATAGAATGTCTAGAGCTCGGACAATGGACTCAGTATGTCAATAGCCCTACCAAACATCAAAATATCTTGGACTTCGTCTTTACCAGTGGCCTCACCCCCAATACTGTGTATATTGGAAAAACGTTTCCAGGTAGTGATCATAACATTGTCATATGCAGCCTTAATATAAAAACCACAACCGGTAGACGTAAAACCGCAACACTTCGTAGAAACTATCGCAAGGTTTATTGGAATAACTTCCACAATCACCTAAGAAGCACTGATTGGGGAACTTTCTTTACTGCAAACAATACGGACACACTAACCAATACATTTTATCTCAACATCAGAAGTATCATCAACAAAATCGCACCTTTAGAATACTGTAGACCTACGGTC